ATGATGCATGCCGCTGCCCCCCATTTTGTGTGGCCATTTGCGGTTCAGCATGCCGCACATCAGCTCAACCTTCAGCCCCGGGTCTCCTTGCTAGAGACCTCCCCCGCCTTGCGGTGGACAGGGAAGGTTGGCGATGCGTCTCTGCGTTTCGGGTCTGGGGATCTCGGGCGTTTGTCCGCGACTTGTGTGCTAACAAGATGTCCCTCGGTGCTGTTCCTTGCGTCTTCCTTGGCTTCCCCCTTGACGCACCTGGGTGGTAGTTTTACCACCCCACCTCGCGCCGTGTTCTGAACCGGTAACAGTCACCCTCATCACTAATAGACACAGCATACATGGCAGCAAGGATAGCATCAAAGTCTAGCTCAAAGATCGCTACACCAGCTCTAGAAAGGTCTCCCCAGCAGGGGATCTCAGAAGCGTCAGGGAACCTGCTGACGCCAAGCGTCCGTCAGGCGGCCAAAGCAGCGCCGGGTGGAGTGGGCACCCCCACACTGCTCACCCGCGCGGTCGCCGCTGCGAAGAACGTAGGTGCCACGGGCTAAGCCTCCACCAACGCTGATCTCTGCGTGTACCACTCACGGAGCTGCTGAGGAGTGGGGACGTCCCGAGCACGCTGCTGCTGCTGCTGCTGCTGAGCCGCGGACCACCACCAAAGCCGCTCCGCTGCGGGGCACTACCCCGACCAGCTCCACCTCCTCCGCCACCACCCGCCTCCACCTCCGCCACTACACCGCCTCCGCTCCCACCGCCTCCGCCGCCACCGACCTCCGCCGCCGCTGCCGCCGCCACCGCCACCACTCCCGCCACCACTCCCACCGCCACCCCCACTCCCTCCGCCGCCTCCACCGCCACCCTCCACCGCCCCCGCGCAGCTCCATCCGCAGCCCTTGCCCCCCTTGCCTCTGCTAGAGCGGCGTCTCTCGCTAGGGGCAGAAGCCGCGCCGACCGACTCAAGACCAAGCAGGTCGGCAGCAGCACAGAGGCAACAGAGGGCAGCAGGGGGGGAAGGAGAACACCCCTCAAAGATGGGGGTGCGCGGGTCACCAAGAGAGGCTCCTACAACGACTATGCTCTTCTCCGCCGCTAGGAGGGCCTTCTCGAGGAGGTCGACAGTGAGGGTGGTGGGACAGAACCGAGAGGAAGTGGGTCCTGACTACGCGAAGGGAGTCAGGGAGGCGAGTGACTATGTAATAGAGAGCGATGTACATGGGGGGGGGGGGGTTCTTGGCGCAGAACTCAGCAGGAAGGGGCGGCGCGGTAAGCAAGTGTCACTAGTGCGGAGGTGCGTAATGAGGTCAGCGACAGTGGGAAAGGCAGTGAGGTCAGGAAAGAGGTACGGTAGCATGAGATGGCTCAGGCAACAGTGGCAGGGGAAGAGTAGCGTGCAACTACAGCGTCGTACAAGGTCTGAGCACTCTTGTACTGACCTAAAGTGCGCGCCAGCTAAGTGGTGGGCAAGTGGCGACGCACAGCAAGACGTGTAGCAGCATCGCGGGTGGCCCACTGAGAGCGAACAGTGGGGTCAGCATCAGCAGCAGGGGCAGGGGAGGCGCCAGAGGTGAGGTCAAAGAGAGAAAGACCGTCCGCTCTATCGCACTGTAAAAAACAACTGTAGGTCGTCGACCCAGACCTCAAAGTCAATGGCTCGACCCTCAGCGTCAAAAGCGAGGACACTGGGGGTAGCCATGACGACAGACTAGCAGTGCAAGCAGTGGGGAAGGGGACGCAGTAGCAGTGGGGCGGTGCCGTGCTCACCAGACAGGATCGGTCGGGGCGGTCCGGGTAGCAGGGCGGCTAGGCGGCTCCTGGGCGGCTCGGCTGCTGCTGGGCGGCTCGGCGGCTCCTGGGCGGCTCGGCTGCTCCTGGGCGGCTCGGCGGGCTCCTGGGCGGCTCGGCTGCTCCTGGGCGGCTTGGCTGGTGCTGGGCGGCTCGGCTGCAGCTGGGCGGCTCGGCTGATGCTGGGCGGCTCGGCTGCTGCTGGGCGGCTCGGCCGGTGCTGGGCCGCGTAGGTAGGGCGGCTGGGCCGCTGGTAGGGCGGCGGGTGGGCCGCAGGTGGGGCGACGGGTGGGCCGCAGGTAGGGCGGCGGGTGGGCCGCAGGTAGGGCGGCGAAGGGCCGCAGGTAGGGCGGCGGTAGGGCCGCGGGTAGGGCGCGGGTGGGCCGCAGGTAGGGCGGCGAAGGGCCGCAGGTAGGGCGGCGAAGGGCCGCAGGTAGGACAGCGGTAGAGCCGCGGGTAGGGCGGCGGGTGGGTCGCAGGTAGGGCGGCGGTAGGGCCGCAGGTAGGGCGGCTGGTGGGCCGCAGATAGGGCGGCTGTAGGGCCGCAGGTAGGGCGGCCGGTGGGCCGCAGGTAGGGGCAGCGTGAGGGCCGTAGGTAGGGCGGCAGTAGGGCCGCGAGGAAGGGCGGCGGGGCCGCTTGATGAAGGGCGGCGGGGGCCGCTAGAAAGGGCGCGGGGCCGCTCGACAGGGCGGCGGGGCCGCAAGGAAGGGTGCGGCGGGGCCGCGCGATGGGGCGGCGGGGCCGCGAGGAAAGGGAGGCGGGGCCGCGCGATGAGGCGGCGGGGCCGCCAGGTAGGGCGGCGCGGCCGCAAGAGTGTAGGGTGGCCGGGCCGCAGTGGGTAGGGCGGCAGGGCCGCGAGCGTAGGGTCGGCCGCTAGGGCGGCTCGGTGAGAGAAAGGCCCGAGGCGCGACTCGGAACGAGTGCGCTTTGGGCAGGAAAAAAAAGTATCGAGTGGTGGGCCCTAGGCAAAGTTCCCACAGGGAACCTGCTCTATACCATGTGAAGCTAAAGAACAGGAATGATTGGACTATGAAATGTGTGAGTACAAGTACCAAACCCTAATTGTGTTGTACCCCCTATGGGATACCCCACTATAGCCTACACAACAGCATAAGCTATATGTTCTGACAATTCACACGAGCATTCATGATTTTACGTGTGCGTTCGAGAGTGGAGTCAGCAGAGGCGTTTGGGGGACATGGAATTTGAAGACAGTTTTCCTACAGAGACGGATCAAGCCAAAACGTAGTAGATGTTGAACAACCGTTTTCATTGCTTACTCGGCGAAGTCTTAGAAATTGCAGTTTACAAACTGTTTGCCACTTCACTTTGCATGTGTGTTAGGAGGAATATAAAATGTGTGCTTGTGTTTCATTGTAAACAATCCTTTTGTGAGTGAAAATCGCTCTATCGACGTATTGAAGCGATGAGCTTTTCTGCACAACGTACCTATCGTTCGTCAACGCTGCGTAATTGAGTTTGGGAGTGCTCTTAGTGCACACGACTGATTTCACACTTGGGAAAATCCCCCTACAAACACGGACCCTGTTGGTGCAACCCTACGGTTTGCACTCGGCTTGTTGTCCATGTGCGTGTGCGTGCATGCGTGTGTGCATGGAGTGGGTATGAGTGCATGAAATAAACATATATTTCATGCTCATAATATTGTGTGTATGATGGGTCATGATGTCGAGTGTGTGTGTGTCAAGTCTATAGTGAATTATCGCTAGTCGCATGTAACGCGGTCATTTTGTGTGTCCCGCGCGGTTTCTATTTTGTCGAGCGCGGTTTCTATTTTGTCGCTTGTCGTGTCAAATTATAATATTGTGTAGGCTATAGTGGGGTAGCCTATATGGGGTACACATTTCTAGGGTTGCATATTTGTATCACTTCCATTCTTAGTCATTCATTCTCGTTCTCATTTCCTCATGGTATCGAGCAACTTCCCCCGTAGGAACTGTGCCTAGGGCCCACCACATCGAGTTTCTTTTTTTTCCTGCCCGAAGCGCGCTCCGCCCGAGTCGCGCTACGGGCTCTCACCTCATCAAGCCGCCCTAGCGGCCCCTACGCCCTAGCGGCCCTATCGCCCTAGCGGCCCCTTCCCCTAGCGGCCCCACCGCCCGTCGATTCGGGCCCCGCCGCCCTTTAGTGCGGCCCTCGCCGCTCGTCGCTGCGGCCCCGCCCTTCTCAGCGGCCCCGACGCCCCGCATTGCGGCCCCCGCCACCCGTCTCCGCGGCCCGCCGCCCGTCGCTGCGGCCCCGCCCTTCTCAATGGCCCCGTCGCCCCACATTGCGGCCCCCGCCGCCCGTCTCAGCGGCCCCGCCGCCCTTCGCTGCGGCCACCGCCGCCCTACTCAGCGGCCCCTGCCGCCCTTCTACTGCGGCCCCGCCGCCCTTCTCAGCGGCCCTGCCGCCCTGCTCAGCGGCCCCGCCGCCCTTCTATTGCGGCCCCCGCCGCCCTTCTTAGCGGCCCCGCCGCCCCTGCTCCGCGGCCCCCGCGCCTTCTATTGCGGCCCCGCCCGCCCCTTCTCAGCGGCCCCGCCGCCCTACTCAGGCGGCCCCGCCGCCCTTCTACTACGGCCCCGCCGCCCTACTCCAGTGGCCCCAACCGCCCTTCTACTGCGGCCCGGCCGCCCTTCTCAATGGCCCCGCCGGCCCTAATCAGCGGCCCCGCCGCCCTTCTCCTTCGGCCCCGCCGCCCTTTCAGCGGCCGCCGCCGCCCCTTTCACCAGCGGCCCTGCCGCCCTACACCGCACGCGCCGCCCGAGCCGCCCGAACCGCCCGACTCTCCTGAGCCGCCCGAGCCGCCTGACCAGCCCGAGCCACCCGAGCCGCCCGAGCCGCCCGAGCCGCCCGCCCTGCCCGAGCCGCCCGAGCCGCACTAGCCGCCTGAGGAGCCGAGCCGCTGGTGCCACGGAGCCGCAGTTGCTGCTGTGCCGTCCGAGCAGCCGTGTTGCCGTGTTGCTGTACTGCTGAGCTGCCCGGCCTGCCCTGTCCGGTGAGAGCAGCACTTCTGTCACCGCACTGCCCCTGTCCTACAGTTGGTACTGCTAGTCTACTGCTGTCATGGCTACCCCCAGTGTTCTCGCTTTTGACGCTGAGGGTCGAGCCATTGACTTTGAGGTTTGGGTAGATGACCTGCACCTTTTCCTACAGTGCGATAGGGCAGACGGTCTCTCCCTCTTTGACCTCACCTCTGGCGCCTCACCTGCCCCTACTGCTGATGCAGACCCCAGTGTTCGCTCTCAGTGGGCCACGCGCGATGCTGCTGCTCGTCTTGCTGTGCGTCGCCATTTGCCTACTACTGAAACCGCGCACTTTAGCCAGTACAAGAGTGCTCAGACCTTGTACGACGCTGTAGTTGCGCGCTACTCTTCCCCTGCCACTGCTGCACTGAGCCGCCTCATGCTACCGTACCTCTTCCCTGACCTTGCAGCCTTTCCCACAGTCGCTGACCTCATTACGCACCTCCGCACTAGTTACACTCGCTAACGCGCCGCGCTTCCTGCTGAAATCTGCGCCAAGAAGCCCCCCCCCCCATGTACATCACTCTCTATTATATCGTCACCCGCCTCCCTGACTCCCTTCGTGTAGTCAGGGACCACTTCCTCTCAGTCTGTCCCACCACGCTCACTGTTGACCTCCTAGAGAAGGCCCTCCTAGCAGCGGAGAAGAGCATAGTCGCTTAGGAGCCTCTCGTGGTGACCCTCGCACCCCCATCTTTGAGGGGTGCTCTCCTTCCCCCCTGTTGCCCTCTGTCGCCTCTGCTGCTGCGGCCGACCTCGTTGGTCTTGAGTCGGTCGGTGCGGCGTCTGCCCCTAGCGGGAGACACCGCTCTGGCAAGGGCAAGGGGGGCAAGGGCGCGGGTGGAAGCTAGCAAGGGTGGTGGAGGTGGCGGTGGAGGCGGCGGAGGGAGTGGGGGTGGCGGTGGGAGTGGTGGCGGGGGTGGCGGTTTTGGTGGCAGCAGTGGCGGCGGAGGCGGCGGAGGCGGTAGCGGTGGGAGCGGAGGTGGCGGTGGTGGCGGGGGTGGCGGCGGCGGTGGTGGAGGAGGTGGAGCTGGCCGGGGTGGTGCTTCGCAGCGGAGCGGCTCCGGTGGTGGTCAGCGCCAGCAGCAGCAGCAGCAGCAGCGTTCTCGGGACATCCCCCCTCCTCAGCAGCTCCGTGAGTGGTACACGCAGCGTCAGCGTGGTGGGGGTTTTGGTCCGTGCACCTACGCCCTTCGCTCCGGCGACCCGCGCGGGTGAGCAGTGTGGGGGTGCCCACCCCACCCAACGATGCTTTGGCCGCCTGACGGACGCTTGGCGTTAGCAATTCCCCGAGGCTAGTGAGATCCCCCGCTGGGGAGAGCTGTCTAGGGTTGGTGTAGCTATCTATGATCTTGACTTTGATTCTATCCTTGCTGCCATTTATGCTGTGACTATTAGTGATGAGGGTGACTGTTACCGGTGTTTCCCGCCCGACCCGGGCATTGGTACTGCTGCGCAAGGTGCTAGTGAGGCTGCTGCTCTAGGTGCCAGCGCGTCTGCGCCCTCAGGTACTGGTGAGGCTGCGCTCTCAGGTACCGGCGTCGGCTTCGACCTCCCTCACCTTCACACTTGACTCGGGGGCTTCTCGCTCCTTCTTTCGAGACCGCACCACACTCACGCCACTTGGTCGGCCGGTTGTAGTCTCTTTAGCTGACCCCTCTGGGGGTCCTGTCCTCTCTCACTTCTCCACTGTCCTCCCGTGTCCCTCTGCCCCCTCTGGCACCTTGTCTGGTCTTTACCTCCCCTCGTTCTCGACGAACTTGGTGAGTGGTGCTGACCTGCAGGATGCGGGGGTTCACCAGTTTACTCCTGCGAGTCAAAGGGTGACCCACTGCTCGGATGCCCACACGGGCCGACACCTGGCCACGTTTTCGCGTCGGCCGGGGTCGAGCCTCTACACCCTGACCACTGGGTCCCCCCCTGTCCCTGCGTCTGGCCTGGTAGCTGCGTCGGGTCAGGTGTTTGCTGCAGCGTCCAGGTCTGGTCCGGAGTCTGCCCCCTGCTCGTGTCGCCTCCTCTCTCACGAGACTCTCCTGTGGCACCACCGTCTTGGTAAACCCTCCCTGCCTCGTCTTCGAGGCATGGCTTCCCGTGTCCTTGTTTCTGGTCTTCCTCAGTCCCTCCCTCCCCTTCCTTCGGGGTTAGGACCTTCCTGTGTCCCCTGTGTCGAGGGGCGGCTCCGGGCTGCCCCTCACTCCTCTCAGTTTCCCTCGACAGAGGCCCCGCTGCAAACGCTTCACATGGACGTGATGGGCCCGGCCCGCGTCCGTGGACAGGGTCACGAGCGCTGCTTCCTGCTGGTGGTTGACGACTACTCGTGGTACACCACGGTCTTCCCCTTGCGCAGCAAGGGTGATGTCACTGAAGTGTTGATCGACTGGATCCGCGCAGCTCGTCTCCAGCTTAGGAGGAGCTTCGGCTCAGACTTTCCTGTTCTGCGTCTGCACTCTGACCGAGGCGGAGAGTTCTCCTCCGGCCTTCTGCGAGCCTACTGTCGTGCGCGAGGCATCCGCCAGACCTTCACGCTTCCGGACTCTCCACAGCAAAATGGGATTGCTGAGCGCCGCATTGGCATGGTTATGGACGTCGCTCGTACGTCCATGATGCATGTGGCTGCCCCCAATTTTCTGTGGCCGTTTGTGTTCAGTACACGGCGCATCAGATCAACCTTCACCCCAGGGTCTCCCGGCCGGAGACCTCCCCAGCCTTGCTGTGGACGGGGAAGGTTGGCGATGCGTCTGCGTTCCGTGTTTGGGGATCTCGGGCGTTTGTCCGCGACCTATCTGCGTACAAGCTGTCCCCTCGTGCTGCTCCCTATGTCTTCCTTGGCTTCCCCCCTGACGCCCCTGGGTGGCAGTTCTACCACCCCACCTCTCGTCGTGTTCTGTCCTCCCAGGACGTCACGTTCGACAAGTCATTCCCCTACTACCCGCCTCCTCCCCTACCGAACTCCTTCCCTCCTCCCACCACCGCACTTCCTTGTGCCAGGTCCCCCGCCGGTAGACCCCCTTCCCCCTCAGGGTCCTGCCCCTTCAGGTGTGTCCCAGGTAGACGCAGTCGAGCCCGTCGAGGTTGCTGGTGACTCTGGTACTGCTGCGGGTGCTGAGCCTGGGGGTGCTGACACTGGGGGTGCTGACTCTGGGGGTGCTGCGCGCGTGGGTGTTGAGCCTGGGGGTGCTGAGTCTGGGGGTGCTGCGACTGGGGGTGCTGAGCCTGGGGGTGCTACGACTTGGGGTGCTGAGCCTGAGGGTACTGCGACTTGGGGTGCTGAGCCCGTCGGTGCTACGACTGGGGGTGCTGAGCCTGGGGTGCTACGTCAGGAGCTGCTGAGCCTGGGGGTGCTGCGTCTGGGGCTGCTGAGCCTGGAGGTGCGGAGCCTGCGGCCGCTGGACCTCCCCTTGGGGCGTCTGGCGGTGCTGGGCCTGGAGGTTCTCCGGGTGCTTCGTCTCGCCGGGAGCCACTCTCTCCACAGGAGCTGCGCGAGTGGTTTGCCCGCCGCTGGAGGCGTACTGCTGGAGCTGGAGCTTCTTTGGCCGCTGAGGGTGCTGGTGCCGCCGTTCCTGGAGGTGCTCGTCCTGGGAGTGCTCGGGCTGCTGGGCCTGCGGGTCCAACTGGAGCTGGAGCTACTGAGGGTGTTGGCGCTGAGACTATTGCTGTCAGTCCTGGCGGTGGTCCTGCTGCGGGTGTTGCTGGTGCTGCTGGAGGTCCTTCTGCTTGAGGTGCTGTTGGCGCTGGTGCTGCCGCTGAGGGTGCTGGTGCTGTCCCTGCTGTGTCTGTAGTTGCCGCGCGGCCTCGCTGTACTTCGTTCCGCTCCTTCACCAGGTTCTTTGTACTTCTCCTCCTGTAGAGTGTCCACCGCCTATCCAACTACACTCACAGTTACCAGCCCGCCTCCCCATTGCCTCCTCCCTCTCCTTACACTGGTCCTACTTAAGGTCTTGCTAAGCGTCGTGAGCCTGCGTCTCGTCCTGTGTCGCCTGTTTGTGTTGCTCGAGCTAGTGGTCGCGGTTCGCGTCAGCGTCCTCCTCCTGTCCCTAGCACGCACCGCATGTCTCTGCGTCCATCCACTACTCCTCTGCGTGTCCCTTTGCCTTCTCCTCCTGAGTCCTCTCTTCCTGCGCTTGCGGACCCGGAGTCAGACTCTCTTCGTGCTACCAGTCCTACAGTCACGCGTCTGCTTGCTACTGTCGTCACTCACACCCTCTTTTGAGTCCACTGCTGCGTCTGCTCTTGTTGCTGAGCTCGTCGACTTTGCTGCTCACTGTCGTCTAGACTACGCTGCTAGTCTTCTTACTGAGTCTGCGTCTGTTTGTCCTCCGTCCGTCGGGGGTGAGTGTGATGTTGACACGGACGTCCTTGAGGACAAGCAGGAGGAGTTCCAGTGTCTGGCTACTGCTTCACCTCATCTCGCGTCCGTACTGCTTACCCCTGAGGGAGACCCGGATGCACTAGACATCCCGACTCTGCGCTCTTACGCGGAGGCCGTAGAGGGTCCCTACTCCTCTCAGTGGCAGGCAGCTATGGATGCAGAGATGGCTTCCTGGAAGTCCACAGGCACCTACGTTGACGCGGTTCCCCCTCTTGGGGCGAACATCGTCAGTGGCATGTGGATCTTCAGGGTGAAGCGGCCGCCGGGCTCTCCTTCTGTCTTCAAGGCGCGGTACGTGGCTCGTGGCTTCAGTCAGCGGCAGGGAGTTGACTACTTTCAGACCTTCTCTCCCACCTCGAAGATGACCACTCTTTGGGTGCTGCTACACATAGCCGCTCAGCGTGACTACGAGCTTCACTCTCTTGACTTTATCACTGCTTTCCTGCAGGGTAGCTTGCACGAGGAGATTCTGGCTGCGCCGTCCACCTAGCTTCACTAGGACTTTCCCTCCTGGCACCCAGTGGAGCCTCCGACGGCCAGTCTAACGGTCTCCGCCAGGCACTGCGTGAGTGGCACGACACACTGAGGACTACGCTTGCGGCTCTTGGGTTTGCTCCCTCTACTGCTGACCCGTCATTGTTTCTACGCACCGACACCTCTCTGCCCGCCGTTCTACATCCTCGTGTACGTCGACGACTTGGTCTTTGCCACAGCTGACACTGCTGGACTCGCCCACGAGAAGTCAGAGCTGCAGAAGAGACACACGTGCACAGACCTGGGTGAACTGCGCAGCTACCTTGGCTTGCAGATCACCCGAGACAGAGCACGCCGCACCATTACCTTGACTCAGTCACACATGGTGCAGCAGGTCCTTCAGCGCTTCAACTTCACGTACTCCTTGCCTCAGCCTTCGGATGAGTCCGTAGAGTCGAGGGGCCCGTACCCGGAGCTTGTTGGCTGCCTCATGTACCTGAAGACCTGCACACGACCTGACCTTGCATACCCTCTTAGCATTCTTGCACGCTATGTTGCTCCTGGGAGACACCGACCAGAGCACATGGCTGCAGCGAAGAGGGTGTTGCGCTACTTGTGCAGTACGTCGGGCATGGGGCTAGTGCTTGGAGGGCGGAGTCCAGTGGTCCTCACTGGCCACCGCGGACGCTTCTTGGGCTGACGACCAGGCTACGGAGCGGTCGTCCCAGGGTTACACCTTCAGTCTTGGTTCCGGCTCTGTTTCGTGGCGGGCTACTCGCTCGTCTTCTGTTCTTGGCTCAAGTTGTGAGGCTGAGATTTACGCCGGGGCCATGGCTGCACAGGAGCTTCGCTAGCTCACCCACCTGCTGACTGACCTCGGAGAGCCGCCTCGTTCTCCTTCAGTGCTGTACGTAGACAACAAGGCCATGCTGGCCTTGTGTCGCGAGCAGCGCCTAGAGCACAGAACGAAGCACATTGCTCTCCGCTACTTTCTTGCTCGTGAGCTGCAGCAGCGTGGTCAGTTGCGACTTGCGTACGTGGCCTCTGAGGCCAACACTGCTGATGTTTTCCCCAAGGCACTTCCGCCTTGTGATCATCAGCGCTTCTGCACTCAACTGGGTCTTGTACCTGTCGTGCCTCACTTGCTCACCTCTTGACCTTGCTTGTACTCTTACATATATATACCTGCTCTTGCTTGTTTAGCCTTATATATCTATGTGTACTCTTGTATGTGAAGTGGCCTTCTAACCTTGACCTTGTGCTCGGAGTGTGTGGTGACGTTGTGATCCACCCTGAGCTTTGCTTTGCTTTGCTTGACTGGTCTTGTGACCCCTTGCTCTCCCCCACTTTGCCTATGGGGGTGTGTCAAATTTTT